TGAGCTGAAAGTAAAGCACTGGGGGGGGGGGCCTCATCCACATCTGTAAGCAGCCCTTGTTTCTAGACCCTAGAGGGGGCTGACGTGAGAAACATGTTTGGGCATTCCAAAGTCCAGAATTATAGGAATTAAGGCTGCTTGCAGACATTAAAAAACACTCTAAAAACCAGCACTTTAAACTCAGTGTGCCCCTGCACCAAGCCCAGCACATGCCCAGAAAAGGCATCCTGTTAACTAAACCTACCTCGTCCAACATCTGTATAGACTGGGAGCTTTTGAGGGGCTTTTTTGGCACTTTTATCTAATAGCTGACTGAATCAGCTTTAGATAAAGCGCCAAAAAAGCCCCGTTGACACACCCAATCTATGGAGACACTGCAGAGCTGGGCCAAAGTAATGTGCTGCTTCTTCCGGTAAATCATAACTAGTTTTTTTGTTTGTTTTTTTAATGTCTGCAAGCAGCCATAGAGAACACAAGTGACAAAGGAAACACCGTGTCAATTTAGGCAGCATGAGGGTTAGGCAGCAGTTGTGCCAACATAAGGGACCTACATTCTGACTAATTGTTTTAGTTGCTTAAGCCCTTTATTAGATTGAGCCTTAAGACAGTCATAATAAACAACACATGAAACACGTGTACTTCTTGTATACATCACCAACAGCATATTAGTGGTTTTAAAGAAAAAACAAAACAGATACTAGCAAGCTACAAACCAGCAAACAATCGTTCCAACTTAATTTCTCATAGACCAAGATTTAAAACTGAAGAACAGAACTGGTAGATTTAAGGAATCTGTATACTTATTACGCTACACTTGATTTTCTCGGTCTATCTGAGTGATGGCCAAATTACCCGTCATCACTAATTATACCACATTCATTTGTGTGACTAACCTTAGTGGCAAACGTTTAACTGAACAAGCTATTGCACAGACCTGAGATGGAGGATGAACCTAAAAGCAGACAAGTAAAATTACCTTGCAAGGGTTAAATCATGATGGTGGTATTCCAAGGCTTTTGTATACTCATGCAAGTAAAAATAGGCATTGCCAAGCTGGCTGTAAATAGCACTGAGTGTTTTTAAATCTTCAGTTCCAACCTGAACAGCAGCTTCAAAGAAAGATACGCCTGCTTGACAGTCTCCTGCTTTACACAGCCGCTCCCCTTCCAAGGCCAGCTCTAAGCAAGAAGCCTCCATTCTGCATAATTTGATGGGGGGGGGAAAAAAGAGAAGGTGAGTTCAGTCTAGATTCTTGATTACAGTATTATTTCTCTGGACATTTATTCTCAGAAACTTTTGTGCATTACAAAGCACTCTATGGGGTGTTTAACACTAAGTTTGATGATAACGCAGAACAGAACTACCTCTAGCAATGAACGCAGAAGTCAGGAACCAAGTTCTATTGTTTAACAGGAATTTGCGGGACAAGCAATGCATCAGTTTACTAAGGGAAACAACAGCAGGTTCTGGCAGAGAAACCGAAAACAAAACTCCCCAAAATATTACAGCATTAACTGCTTAACTACTAAAATCTATACAGCCTAACATTGTGGTCTTACTAGACAAGCTTTCATTTTGTCAGCACAAAATTTACTTGAGGTAGGACTAATACAAACTGAACAGAGCTAGGATTTGGCCCATTTAATACTTTGTAAGAACGTAAGAAGTGCTATACTGGGTCAGACCAATGGTCCATCTAGCACAGTATCCTGCCTCCAACAGCAGCAGAAGTGAATGCTACACAAGGAGAACACCGAACCGGATCTCTCCAAAGTGAGCTATCCCCTATTCAATACCCTCCATGAATCTATGATTTATTGGGTTAAAGATGCCAGAGGAAGCACCTCCAATCATTTTGTTCAATAGCCATTAATAGATCTATTATACATAAATTTATCCAGTCCATTTTAACCTGGCCATGCTTTCTGCCCTCCATCGTCTCGAGACAATGAATTCCGCAAGTTAACTACATGCTAGATAAAAAGTACTTTACCTTGTTAGTTTTAAACCTGTCATCTACTAATGTCAGTGGGTGTCCCCTAGTTCTAGTATTCCGAGACTGGTGAATAGCAGTTCCCTGTTCACCCTTCATGACTTTACAGACCTCTATCATAACCCCCATCAGCGTTCTTTCCCAACTGAAGAGTCCCAGCCTTTCTAGTCTTTCCTGGTATGACAACTGCTCCAGGCCCCTATCATTTTGGCTGCCCTTCTCTGTACCTTTTCTAATGCTACTAAATCCTTTTTTGAGATGTGGGGACAAGAACAGCATATGGGAAGTGGACATACCATGGATTTGTATATTGGTAAGATAATATTCTCCATTTTGTTTTTAATCACCTTCTTAATGATATCCAAGATTTTTTTGGCTTGTTTGGTCAGCATGGCACACTGAACTTACATTTTTTTAAAACTCTTTACAACGACTCCAATGTCTCTTTCTTGAATCAAAACACCTAGCACTGCGTATGTATAATTGAGGTTATTTTTTCCAGTGCATTACCTCACATCTGCCATTCTTTTGCCCACTCACTTAGCTTGATGAGATCTTTCTGCAGCTCCTCCATCAGCTTGTGACTTCACTACCCAGAATAATTTGGTATCATTTGCAAACTTGGAGATTTCACGATGCATTTCTATTTCCAATATTTTCAATGACTTGAACAAAATTAGGGCCCAGCACAAATCCCTGCGGGACCCTACTTATAACCTCCCTCTATTCTGAAAAATTACTATTTTGCCCTACTCTTTCTTTATCTTTTAACCAGCTCTCAATCCAAGAAAGAACCTTCCCACCAATCCCGCAGCAATGCAGCTTTTTTAAAAACATTTAGTAAGAGACTTTGTTGAATGCTTTTTGAAAGTCCAAATAGATTATGTCAACTGTATCCCCTTTGTCTATACGCTTGTTGACACACTCAAGGAACTCCACCATATTGGTGAGGCAGGATTCTCCTTTATAAAAACCATGCTGACTCTTTCCCAGAAGATCATATTTGTCCATGTAATTGCTGATTTTATTCATTACTATAGTTTTTACCAATTTCCCAGGAATGGAAGTGAGACTCATTGGTCTGTATTTGCCAGGATCACCTCAGGAGCCCTTTTTAAAGATGGGTGTTATATTGACAACCCACCAGACCTCTGGCATGAAGGTCATTTGTTACAATGGGTTACAAACCTACATCAGCTATTCTGCAATTTCACCTGGCATGGGAATTTCCAAAGTATCTTCTGCAGTAAACACCAATGCAAAGAATTCATTTAGCTTCTCTGCTACAGCTTTATCATCCTTGAGTACACCTTAGTCATCTAATGGCCCTGCCAGTTCTCTAGCTTACATCCTACTTCTGATGTATTCTAAACGGTTATTACTATTATCTTTAGCATCTTTTGCTACGTTTCTCAAATTCTTTTTTGGCTTGCCTTATTTCACTTTTACACTTGACCTGCCACAGCTTGTTGGCTTTCCTGTTTTCCTCATTTGGGCATGCTTTCTGTTTCTTGAAGGATGACTCCTTGACTTGAATGGCCTCCTTAACTCTGCTACTGAACCATGCAAGAGTTATTGGGCTGCTTTGTACCGTTTTTGATTTATACCATCTCACAATGTTGCTCTGGTTCTGTTGTCTCACTGCTATCCCAGTACAGAAAACATACCATAAGAACAAAAAGCAAGTTTTTCATACAATATCCCACTTCTCCCAAGAGTTCTTTCCTTAAGGCTGCTTTTTTCATTTATGCCTTTTGTCACTACTGGAACAACAAACAAATAAGTGAATGACTTGTCCTTTGTGCAAAGTGGATTGCTCACCGGCAAGTTAGGATTTTTTAAATACTGTGATCATATTTAAATATAAATCTACATCACAACTGACAGTGTAGATAGTAATGTTATTATTTAAAATTTTGATTTTTATGTAGTATTTTCCTGATACTAAGCATTCCATGCTAGCATTCTTGAAGTGAATACATTTTTACGTCTGGGTGTTTCTATTCAATGAGCTAAAAAACTCTAATGTAGAAGCTGCAAGCTGATACTGGTATTTGGTCTGAACAAAATGGATTTGAGGGCAGAGTAGCCAAGAAATTTAAAACAACCTTGGCTGATCTATACTAGTAGCTAGTCACTGGAGCTATACAATTTTCACTAGCTCAGTTTCTGGCCTAAAAATATAGATATAGTTATATCTTTTTAAAATTACTACTTGCAAAATGACTTACGATTCTTTTTTGAAAACAGCTAATATAGAAATGTTAGAACTACTTAACAAGTCCCCAAACATTTACAAATACAATAATACCTATACAAGCATTTCGTAAGTACGGTAACAGTTTCCTATTATGACCTTATAACATCAATGCAACAGTATGGAAACCATATTATAACATAAAAAATGAACCAACTATCAGACAGAGTTGAGGTCATGACAGTATATTTGCTTCACTAAGAATATAGCAGATATTTAGAAGAGATTTAACCAGTGCAAGTCAAGAACACAAATAATGCTGCAAACTATTATTTTCAACACTGCTGACAGTATAGTATTAGTATTTATTTGTAAAGAACTACAGAAAAAAGATGCAACAGGTAAATAAAGAAGAGTTGCAGGGAGAGCTATGAAAAGGCATAAAAGGGCATTCTTCATTAAGACACCGTTAAATATTACACTAACTTGTGTTTAGTCTTAGAGACAGGTAACATTTTAGTAAGCGTTAGTAAATCCTTTTTTTTTTTAAAAAAGATCCATACTAAGAACTACACAAGAATATCAGGATTCTCCATCCCATGGTGAACAACCCAGTTCTTTTGAGGAAAAAAAAGTCTAACAAATACATTGTTTTGCTTTTTAAAAACCCTCCTTAACTACACTTCAAAAAACCATCTGCTAATCTATTCTCAAAACAGAGAAGTACTGGGAAAATAGTACTTCTGTTTACAGCACTCTGAAACATAAAAGTACTGTATACCACACTTTAGAAAAATAATCTACAACTGAAATCTTACTCTGAAAAACCTGGAAGTAAAGGTAGGGACACCTAAACTGTTCTTTAACAAGATTTACAAAAGTAAGTGGAAGATACTCTTTTGGGAATGAAAACCCCTTTCAAAATTTAAAAACTGTTTATTATTAGTATAGCATGTTTACTGTACTAAAACATATTACATGTAAACTTCTCTATTATTTCTTTTTTTCTAACGCTAAGCCAGGCACTGGCCACTCTTTATCTGTTATCTAGCAGTTAATTATTCTGCACAGCTGCAAAAGAGACTTCCAAATTAGATGAAAAATCCATTAACTTCTAAAATATTTAAATGTTTTTATCTCTTGAGATACTGACTTACTTGTCAAAACTTGAACAATGAAAACGGATAAAAATCACAGAAGGTCAAAAACTAGGAGATGATCATTTGCTTAACCTATGGAGACATTTGAATATGGAAAGTACATAAACAGCTAATACAACTTAATATATCCTCACACGCACATGATTTGAAAAATACTGCTTGCAATTGGACAAATGTGCAACAGTGATAATTAAATTTATGCTATTCCAAAACAAAATCTTCCTTGATGAGCAAATTCAACAAGATTAGCAATTAAAAGCAACCTTCTGCACACCCACACACTGCTTAATTGACAGCACTGTACTAAAATGCAGACAGATCTCTCAGCATACTTAAACAGCAACTTACTTTTTTTTAATTAGCTAAAGGCTCAGTTAAGAGCTGCTAGGTAACAGAGTATTTTACAACACATAAGCGGAATGGAAGTATCCTTGATCAATCCACTGCACTGTTTTTCAGAATCAAAGTGATTTAAGTCAGAAGTAAAATAAGATACTAACAAAACAGTACGGTACCTGTTAGACTTGGACATTCCACAACTTAAGCACAGTGACATAATAGACATGTTTGGCTTTTGCAATTAAAAATAATCTATGCCTAGTATCCAGTAAAAATGTAAAAGATAAAAGATACTTCAAGCATGGAGCTGTCTCCACGCTCAGCTTCTCAGGTTGGACATCCATAACACATGCAGTACTGTCAGGTTTGTAAATTCTTCTGGAAGAAATTGAAAAACTGCTATTTATTAAACCATAAAGCCATCTTCTTATACTGTTTGTGTTAAATATTACTTGGAAAAATGTAGAAATGATTAAGTACAGTATGTTACACCATCAGCAACTAAAGGT